CCAGACTAAGAGAGTCCCAGCACCCAGGGAGAGGCAGCCACACAATCCAAAAATCAGAAGCACATCTTTGTAAAAATATGCAGAAAGGCCTTGAATGTGAGGAAACTTCCAGAAACTTAGCTAATCCCAGAGTCACACTTTCTGGATAGAAAGGCCTTACCTCTTTAAGGATGAATTGGAGGGGTGGTCCTCTGACATACGCAGCTCGAGCCTTCCAGAGCAGCACTGCCTTTACCGCAGCACACCTTCTCCTGGGAGCTGCCCAGGACGGAGCCCGCCTTGACAGCTTGATGTCATCGGGCTCCAGGAGGGGACTGTCATGAGCAAGCGGCCTCCCAGTGGACTTGGCTGCCCAGGAGCAGGCCCTGGGAGTGCCGGAGGGGACACGGCGTGGGGTGCTGTGTGGATGAGGTCCTCCAGGTGGATGAAGAGGGGGATTCCGCAGCAACTCTTAACGGGGTCATTCTGCCCCTGAGCGAGGTGTTGCAGGTTCCAGGCCTGAGAAAAAACCCTTGTACACCATTCAGCTTGGTATGTGTCACAAGACCTGTTAAAATGAATTGAAGCTGTTTATTGATATTGTCATCAACATAATTGCCATCAGCCACATTATTCTCATCATTTTTTAAAAACCTGTTTGCAATGACTCTTCCAACCTTCCAATCCTGCCCCCCAATGCCTGCCTCCTATCAGGGCCATCTGAGTGCTCTGACCCACAGGAGAGCACTGTTAGCCCACAAGAACGAGGGCTGGGTACAACCTGCCTCCTGGATGTCCTGACTCTGTCCCTGACTCCTAAGATGACCTCCTCAGAGCTCAGGATGTCCCTCTGTAACGGACAGCTGCTGTGCTATCTGGGGTAATGAGGACACAGCTGGATGCACACCAGGCTTTCTGCTGGGAACCACTTCAAACTTCACGGTGAAAACCAGTTTGCACATGCAAGACACCAGATTCTCATACTCCTCCATGGCCCTTAGCTTAGTGCTGGGTACCACAGTGGTGACCCTGCCCACCATTAGCTGCATTCCTTCCCTGCCATCCTTCACCCTGGGACCCACCTGCCTGCAGTGTCCAGGCAAAATAGCCACAGCCCACATACCCCTGGGGCATTTGGCTGGTTCCCTCCAGGACACCCGAGGCTCCTAGGAGGAGAGGGCTTGTCTTCTCCAGAGGTCCCCACACCTGTCTCCTGCTCTCTCTGTGCTATGTCTTGGCTCTGGCTGCCTTCCATACACAGCTCCTCCATGGCCCAAGTCCTTCCCCAGTGCACCACCTGGCAAGTGTCACACTAGGTCAGTGGCCACAGGGTTGCGTGGTGGCCCAGAGCAGGAGGGCAGGAAGAACACCTGAAGGTGACAGCAGAGGGGAAGCAATGGGCCACCAGATGGCAGCCCCTCGGGGCAGCCATCACAGAGCCCGCACCCCACAGGTTCTGCCCTCCTAGCTGCCCTTCCTTCTCTGTGCCTATGGAAGTCTTTGGGATTGCCACCACAGGGGTTGGCAAGCAGAAACTGCTCCTGGGGACACCTCTTTGCTGGAGGAGAAAATCCTTCCACACCTGAGCCTGGCAGACTTGTGGAGGTGCAGAGCACGGTGGTTTTCTTTTCCAAGACATCCCAACCCAGGCAGCGCCCTGCCCTTCGCCTCTTGTGATAAACAGGCTCGAGGACAAGTTCTCTTGGCAGAATGGCCATTTTGTCAGGGGCACATGTGCTTCTCACTTCCTAATGCACACTGCATGGGCTCTGTCTGGTTTCTAAGGCAGGAAATTCTCTGGTCCCAGTCCTCTTACTCTGAGCTGGGTCCCCAGGGCTGTCCCCGTCCACTGTGCGGGCAGCTCAGTGACCCGAGCAGCCTGTTTTCTAGGAGGCTGCCTGAGAAGCTGCTAATCCGCCTGGTGTTGGTCACAAATCCATCATCTCCCAGAGCTTCCCTCCTGGCTGATGTTCAAACTGGGCTGAGTTTTAAAACCATTTGCTCTTTGGTGTCTAATGCTTTGTGGGTTTGCTTGAGCCCTTTCAAACCCAAAGGGACGATTTCTTGTCTTTCCCTTCTGCTGTCCAAATACGATTCAGAAGTCTGTCCCCAAAGCAGAGCTAAAGTTCACGTGTGGATCAGGCTCTGATCCAGGGCGACCAGGCTGGGTGAATTACGGATCTTTGTCCTAAGCAACCTGTTATGACCACAAAATAAATCCGGCCAACACTGCCGGAGGAGGAAGCTCACAGGCAGTTTTTCTTGGGGTTAGACAATCAGTCTGTCCCTGCTCTCCACACAGGGCATGCAGATTTCCCCAGGGTGGACGTCACACTGCCGCCCCAACAGAATCAGGTTCTGGGTGGCCAAAGGCATTGTGCTCAGCAGAATGAAGTCAGACGGAGCGCTCCCATCCAGGCTCTGCCACCGCGTGGAACAAGCAGGTCGCTGAAGAGTTATACACATTTGGTCACAAAACTTGCTTGTTTTCTAAACCTGCTTCTAAGGGTGGCACCTTAACCCCTCTTCACCAGGTACGAATGGGTAGGTCTCGGGGATTTTCAGTTTCTTGCAGAAACCCCAGGTTTACTTTGGTTCTGAAGACTCAGTCTTGCTGCTTCTATTTCACTTTCTTCTGAAATCAAAGCTCAGCCCCTTTCCAGGGCTGATGTGGGTGCCAGGGCCTCTCCTCTCCAAACTCCTCTGCCCTCTGGGAAAGACCAGAGGAGACCCTTGTGCCTGGGCAATGTCTCAGCTCCCTCCATGGGGCGACTTCAGCGGCACCATGACCGTGCTGCAAGGAGGGCTTCTTAAAACCCGCCTGCTGAGCCCCACGCCAGAATTCCTGATTCAGTGCATCCTAACAACCACCATTTCCAAGAACTTCCCAGGGGCGCCACAGACAAGAGGTGACGTTAGCTGTCCTAAGCCACCTGGTCACTTCAGACTTTGGAATACATAATCACCAGGGCATTCTTAATGGCGAGGATTCCAGATTATAGCCATCAAGATAAATAGAAGGAGAGCCACGTATGTGATTGTAAGTCACCTAATAGCCACTTAAAAAAAAGTAAAAGTAAACAGTGAAATAAATCTTTAGAAGAGACTTTATCCAAATATGTGTGAGCTTTTGTCATTTCAACATGCCATCAGTACACAGATGGTTGGTGAGTTTCCCCTTCTTTTATCTCTGCAGGGTGTTCAAAGGCAGGCGAGCCTTGCTCTAGCCTCACATCTCACTGTACCAACGGGGTCAGGTGTATGAAGGTCACAGGCTCTTTCTGCAGGCCACCTGTGTTGTTGAGTTTGTAGGTAGTGTCAAACAGATGCAGATTCTTGTTCAGTTGACATTGGTCTCCAGGACAAAGTGGCAATAAGACAGACAGGAAGCATCACAGGCCTATCAATGCCTTCAGGACAGTCCTTGTGACTCTGGTCAGCACAGCTTGCCAGGTGGCCCATCTGCTGGGAGGGAGACTCTTGCCCATCCTGGACAGGAGGAAGGTTCCAATGACACTCTGATGACAGTGTACTCCACCACTGCCACCCTTCCGCATGGCCTTATCCACTCTCCCTTCAAATCCCACCATCGGAGCCCACCACACTGGGAGGTTCTGAATCACGTCATTCCTATGAACCCTTCTCCACCAGCACCTGCTGCCTCCTAATGCTCATGTAGAGCAGATGCTCAGTGGAAACAGCTGAATGAACAATTCAATAAGCGATTCTCACAAGAGTTTACCTTAGTTGGTGTCTCGAGGTCGCAGAGATCCTCCAGCGTTTGCATTAGGCTTGCCACTGTCTGGTAAGCTCTGTGGACCCACATCACCTTATCCTCAACCCAGCAGGGGCTGGGCACAGAGTATCTCAAATGTCAGCAGCTTACGAATCACCTGTGAAGCGTGTCAGACTGCAGGGTCTGTGTGGGGCCCCAACCTAGACCCCCTGAAGGAGCTTCCAGAGTCAGGACCCTGGTGTTTGCACTCTCCTGGGGTCCCCAGGAGATTCTGGCACAGGGGAGCATGGTTCCAGCCTGCTGCAGACCATCCTGCCACAACCCTCCTCAGCACAAGTCGGAAGGGGACTTGTTCATTCATCGTGGAGTTTGACGTTCAATGGAGGAGGTTCTACCCTGTGCCAGGTGCTGCAGGGACCCCCAGAGGGCTCTCAGCATGGGGGGGAGGGCTTGTCTGTGTTGCACTTCAGGAGACCCACGTGATAGGGCTTGTGAGGCACCATGGCAACCATAGGAGAGACCTGGCCAAGTCCCAGCTGGCACCTGCAGGCTGAGGGGAGGGAGCCAGAGACATGTCAACATGGCTGAGTGTGGGAGACAGGCTGGGGGAGGTTGGGGATCTGCCCTCTGTGCCGGGGCAGTGGGGAAGCCTGCAGTCCGCACCTCCAGCAGGCCTCCTATGTAACCGTTGTGAACTGCCCACATACCGAGAGTGAGAGGTGAGGTGCCCTGGGATGTGGAATACTACCTGGTTTTCAGAACCCAAATGAATGTCACTCATCTGAAGACAGTTTGCAATAAAATAGTCTTTACAGTTATTGAGAGTTTGCCCTGACCCTGTCGACCCCCATGCTTGAATTAGAATCCTTCCATCTGGAATTATTAGTTAAGGGCAGTTTATCAAAGACAAGATGGATGGTGTAAGCAGATTTTGCCGTTGGTATTCAGGAAAATGCATCATCCCCTGCCATTCAGCAAAAGTTCTTCAATCACGGTTGATTGAAGGTTACCAACCTTGAATTATTAGTTAATGGCATCTCTGCAAAAGCATGATTTATTGAGCAAGTAAACTTTGAAAATGAACATAGTTTCAAAATTGCTGGCTATTTCATCCAAAGCTGAAACGTGCATTATTTTGACTCTTACAGCGGAAACCAAATCCAAAGCAGAGGCTGATATGTGGCCCTGATCTCAGATTTCCTGACAGTCAGGGTGTTAAGAAGACATCGGAGTCCCGGCTCCCGAGTTCACCTACGTGGCCGGCTCCCGAGTTCACCTACGTGGCCGGCTCCCTCACAGCCAGCACCACCTTGGAGCAGCCTCCCTGAGGTCACCTCCAGATGGGAAGCCTGCCTTCCAGCAGATGATGCTCCGTCACCTGTCCCCGTCACCTGTCCCCAGGGCCCTCTCCTGAAACACCATGCAGGGCCCACACCTGCTGCTGCCCACGTCCCCGGTGCTGCCACCACCTCTGCTTGATCACTTGAGAACAAATGACGTTGGCTCAAGGGATAGAAATGTGTTCGCTTTGTCACATGGCCCATGGGAAATGCATCCTCCTCTCTTCCCTCAACAGGGGCCTGGTTCAGCCTCAAGCCCTCTGAAGGCAAGGTCAGGACAAGCAGGAACGCTGTGTCTTCCTCAGCCCTGGGTCCCTGAGACCCCAGCTTCTTCCTGCCCTTGGGTCCTTCTGCCTGAGACTTTGTCCCTCCAGGCCACCGTGCACACCCATTCTCAGTGGACATCCAGACACGTCCATCTGCAGGGCACATGCTTTCCTGCCACACAAGCCTCTTCTGAAGCACTGGACATGGTCAGGGTCACCTGTGTGCCCGTTGGCTCATTTCCCCCCCCCTTCTCAGGAGCCTCCCTGGTTTTCATGTCCTAGGTGTCCCTGGTGCTTGGAGCTGGGGGCGCTGGTGTTGAAGTGAGTCACTAAGAACCACTCAGGGTTCGGAACCCCCCGGGGCAGCAAGAGGGAGGCAGGCAGAGAGCACTGGTCAAGTCATTGCCTGGAAGGGGGCTGACGGGTATGCGGCTGGGCTGCCAGTCTGCCCTGCACTGCGTGCTTGCAGTGGAGACCTGAGTCTTCTTTAGCTCCTCCCTCCAGGCTTCTCTATCAATGTCCTCTTGGAACCATGATGGAGAAGTCTGGCACGTTTGTTTGACTGCAAAATTCTTTTAAAATATCCTCATGGGAAAATCTATCAGAAAACAAATGACAAACTGCACAGAATATTTGAAACACATATAAACTACAGAGCCAGTGTCTTCACATGTAAAGCACCCTCGTGAATAAACAAGGGGATCACCAACCCACCCAAGACATGGATCAAGAACAAAACAGGCACTTCACAGGGAAATAGATGGCTCATAAGCATATTTTCATGTGCTTCAACTCCATTTAGAATGAAACAAGTAGTATTTAAAACTACAATTTCAAATTGTTTTACTTAGACTGACAGAGATTAAAAGTTGGCATACCGTTTGCTGCAGGGCCGTTTGTCAGTGGGTGTTAACAGTGCAAGTGTGCCTTCTCGTTCCTCTAGGAATTTCACTGCTGGGATTGTATTCTACCAGGACGTCTGTGCATGTGACCAAAAATGTAAGTAAGCCTGCTTTTAACAGGTGTGCTTACTGCAGCAACAGCTGGGAACCACTGAATGTTCTCAGAGAACTGCTCAAGTAAGCCGTCATGTGACCATACAAAGGAAAGGAATGGAGCCTCTGAAAGTGACCAAGCCACAACCTGCTGGCAGGTCCAGGCTCCAGTGTCCAGTCTCTGGGGTCCAAGTTCCAGGGCCCAGTCTCTGGGGCTAGTGTCTAGGGCCCAGTCTCTGGGGTCTAGTCTCTGGGGTCCAATCTCTAGGGCCCAGTCTGAGGGGCCCAGTCTCTGGGGTCCAATCTCCAGGGTCCAGTTTCTAGGCCCTAACCTAGGAGTTCAGTCTCTGGGGCTCAGTCCTAATCTCTGGAGTTTCTAGGCCCTAATCTCTGGAGTTCAGTCTCTGGGGCCCAGTCTCTGGGTCACCTCTGGAAAGGAGGGCAAACAGCTAGCATCTGGGAAAGAAAGAATAGGTAGTTTGGGGCCTGCTCTTGGTTGTTGGCACCCTCCCCTCCTTGGCGTCCCCACCACAGGCCGGGTCCCCGTCACAGTGTCCCCACCATGGGGTCCTCACCATCCAGCTTCCACCCATCACACTGACTCTTGGCAGCTGTGACTCAGAAGTAGTGCTTAGAAACCTCGTGCCCATAAAGTGTGATGGTCCCACAAGGAGGCTGCCCGTGTCCAGGATAACGGCAGTGTCAGGCCAGGGAGTCTTCTGTCGGAGAAACAGAAAGCAGGGCACTGACCCGGAGCCAGGAGCACCCTCCTGTGATGTGCAGGGATTTCAGAGGAGGTGGCCTGGAAACCCTGCAGAGGCACAGGTGAGCCCGGTGGAGCTGGTGCTGCCTGCCTGCTGTTCAACCATCAGCTGAGCCAAAGCAGAGCCACCATTAAGGCCACGAAACCCAGAAGGGGCTCAGCTCTGTCCCCAGCAGATCAGGCAGAGCTGCTTACGGTGGCGTTGCACTTGATGGCGAGTACTCAAGAAGTCCTGGCAGAACCTCCCATCTGGAAGCACCCAACACGGGCTGACCTTTTCAGCCGGGCAGGCTGCCGGCCTGGCGCCCACATTACCATCAGCTGTCCCCAAGGCTGCCTCCAGAGAGCAGTTTTTAAGTGCAATCAAGGCCCCTGGCCAAGGTATTTTTAGCATTTCTTGGTGGGGCCATGTCTCGGAGGCTGTAAGCAGAGACGTCACGGCCAGGGCCAGGAACATTCCTGATTTCTGGGTCCCTGCTCTGAGGTTGGCCTGTTCCCATGACTAATTTGGAAATTTTCTGGCTACCTTTATGACCCTTTGCCTGGTGACCCTTCCCCCAGAGCACAGGGCTCCTCCTCAGCGGCCCCAGGGACAGAGCCAGGCCCTGAGCCACTGAAGCGCACGTCACGCTCCCTTCTCAGCTAGCAGCAGCAGCAGCAGCAGGAGGCTGCGGCTCCGTGTGGCCCTGCAGACACACAGGGCCGCATGCTCATGTTGAAGAGTGGCGCTGCCGAGCAGGAGCAGGAGGCTGGGTCTGGGGCTCCCGGGGCCACACTCTCCTAGGCCTTCTGTGCTCACTACCCTACAGTCCTCCGCGTCTTGGCGCCGCCTTTCACAAGTCTCCTTCCAGCCTGTGCGCCCCACCAGTGCACCTGAAGAATACCGTATACGCGAGTTGTTTTTAACTGTCACGTATTTAACTGCTTTTTAAAAATATGATAGATAATCATCTTTTAATGGAGCCAGTTTCAGACCCTGGCTTCCAACCCAAACCAGTGCTCCAGACCCTCTGTTGTGTGTCTCCCACCTCCTGGGTGCACTCGTAGGTCAAGCTCTGGGGACACCAGGGTTGGAAATGGGATTCATGGGGGTTTGGGCCCCATCCCTCGTTCCACATCTAAATCAGAATCTTGACTTTAATTTCTGACGGACAGCTCAATAGTAGAAATGCATCTTTGGGTGATGGAGAGGCCACATACATCCAACATCCTCACTGTCCTCTGTCCTCAGCCTCCCTTGCAAATAGACTGAGGCCACGTGAGTCTTCCACCTTCCCCTGTGCAGCAGGGAACGTTGAGGCCCAAACGTACACTTACTGGAATTTACCTGCAGGAGAAACAAACCTTTGTTAGGTTATGAGGCTCTGTGGATCTATCCATTATGGCTGCTGGTATTAATTTCACAGACTAATATGCGGATTAATTTCAGGTTGATTTCTCACTCTATCTTCTCTCCTCCACTGCAAAGCTCAGGCCTTCAGGCACCAGTTTAATAATGATCGAATGCTGCAATTATTTTTCTTATGATTCCCAGCCCATTTGGCTTTTGAGGCGCGACTCGGTGTTGTTCTGGATAGAAGCTGACTCAGAAGCTTCAAAGCCATATTGTGGGCGCCACCGAAGCTGGCAGAGGCAGAGAGCGCCTGTCTGTTAGGCTCTCGATTTACACATATGACAGATGAAGTGAATGTGCTACCAAAGTAGGAGGACAGAACTTGAAACAACCGAACCAGAGAGTAAAGAAACAGAGGCAATGGCTGCCGCCCCACTGGACCCAGAGAGCCCAGACCTGGGCAGAATGAGTGGCCCCGACCCACCCGGCTGCCCTTTCTGCTCTCTCTCAGCCAGTCTCTGCAGAACCTTCCACTAAAACCTTCTCCTAAAGCTTTCAGCAAACGCAACGAGGAGCATCAACCGGTGCGGAAATTGCAAACAGAATTTATGAATATTACACTCCTTTCATCTAAAGAACCTGAGGACGTTTTTACAAATAATTCATTCAATTCATTTCATTCTCCAGTGTTAAATTTGAGATGCCTGAATTCATAATTGAATCTTTTGAAAGAAGGGAAATCTACTACATGTGAACATGCAGAAACTCAAGCCTTCTGCCTGATCGCCAAGAACTTTCCGGAAGGGGTGTTCATCCAAAGCCTGGTGGCTCGGCTTCCTGCCTGCACAATTCCCGTCTTCACATCCTGCTGTAATCACTCGGTGGCAGGCTCTTCCCGGGAACAGTCAGCAGAGCAGGTGGGAGGTGCTGGTGGAGAGGGTCCCCTGGAAGAACTGGGCTCATGGCGAAACTCTTGAGGGAAAACATTTTGTTAAAAGGGATTTTTTTTTTTTTCTCTTGGGGCTGATTTCCAAAAACCTGAATCAGGCACAAAAGTGAATCTATTTGTGCAGTTGATTGGCCCCGGGGGAACTGTGTCTAAACAGTGTCACTAGGAACATACTTTTCTCCCTCTCTCGACTCAGCCTGACTCCATGGTGTCCACCTCCATGGCCTGCACCAGCTCCCGTCTGCCCCTTGTTGTTGCAAGTGGCTGAACACACCCCTCTCCACTCCAAATCCCACCCAAAAAGTTAAAAAGAATTCCTGGCCTGAGTCCCGTGGGCCCAGCTTGGGCAGCATGCACATCTCTGAACTCATCATGGTGGTTGCAGGGATGAACTATGCTAATTAAATAATCCAGGAACGACTCTGGAACCCATAAGAGCCGAAGACCACGAGATGGAGAATGGCTCAGAGAAATGTCCAGGTGTTTTCCCCGAGGAAGATGGAGAGATGGTGGTGGGAAAACAGCCAGATCTAAAAGGCCAACAGACCAACGTTCCTGCACTGCAATTTCCAGGATCTCCCGGATGACCCTGAGTCCTGGGGCCCTAGGGCTCAGGCAGAGAGCCTGTCAATCAGAGAGAACCTCAGCTTTATTATAGTGTTGAGGACCACATGAGGGAGTCACCCAGCAAGGGAGGGCAGAGCTGGCTTCACAGACTGTGCACACCGCCAAATGCGTCACAGTGGAGACATTAAACATGCAGGTTTTATATATCAATACCCTCAGTAGAGCTCGGGAAGAGGGGCATTTTTTAAATGTGGCAGATCGAAGAAAGGCAATTTCAAAAAATTACTCCCTGTACAATCCTATTCGTACGACATTGTTTAAGTCCCAAGCAGACCAACCAGAGGCCACCAGGGCCTGAGAGAGGAGTTCCGTGCCGGAACAGGGTGGCCTGAGGCTCTTTGGGGTGTGGGCTCTGTCCTGGCCTGGCTCAGCCTGTGTCTGTGCTGGAGAGTACATGTGAGCTACACGGTGTAGAAGAGCTCAGGGGTAGCACACTCGTGCACTGTCCCGCTGCTGGTGATCCTCGACCCACTCGAGGGACATTGGAATGTTTACGTGATTTAAGACTCGGTTCTCCAGCCTCAGCAGCCACATCTTGAGGGCTCAAGGCAGGGCTACGGTGGTCATGTTGGTCGTCTCCGTCACTGGGTAGCTGTTGGCCAGCCTGGTCCGTGTCTCTAGAGGGTTATATACCGTCAAGTGCATTTGTCAAAACTCATGGAATGATGAAGTTAAGACTTCTGCCTTTCATTTGTAAAATTTACCCTGAAAAGCATCAGACTCAAAGCTGCCTGTCCAGCAGTGGTCGGGAGGGCTGTGTACAGCTGTCCGCAATGCACTTTGGAGTGCACCACAGAATATGAAGGCAGAACAAGGAAGGGGAGGAGGGGAGCGTGGAGGACGCACCAGTGTGTGTTAAACCAGAGCTCCAACGGACGCGCAGGGCCTCGGTGGGCCACATGTGTCTGCACCGTGTAATTCTTTAACTTCTCTATTATTTGAAAATTTTGAAATAAAAACAGAAGGAGAAGAACATTGGCTGATAAAAGTGACCTCAGGGCCCCTGCAGGAGACTGGGACTGGTTTCCTGGCTGTAAGCTGGAGGCTGCTCTCCGATCTAGACCCTCCCTGCAGCGGGCCCAGTGAAGCCCCTTCCCCCTCCCACCTCGGCTGGCTTCCTCCGCCCCCCCCCTGGGAACTTGCTCTGCTTTTCAGGGCTCACAGGGCTGTTTTGAGGTTGACCATTGGCAGGACTCCACAGTCCAGGTTTGGGACTCCTTAGGCAAAACAGACTTTCCAAAGCCGTCTGGGTTTCTGGCCTACTCGTTTGCAGGCTGCTCTGCTACAAGCCTGTGTCAAGTTGAAGATTCGTCCTTGGAGCCTCCGTGCTCTGCCCACCGCACCTCTCTCCCAGCCTCATAGCACCACCTCAAGCCACCACCAGAAGCTACAGCTTTGCTGGGGAGGCAGCGTCCTGAATGTGACTTTTGAGACAAGGTTCCAAACGGCAGGATGGCAGGATGGGCAGGTCTTGTCTCCTGCTTAGGACATGGCTTTGCAGAAAACACTTCTAGGACTAACATGGTTTGAGAGACGCAGCAGTCACAGTTTTCAACCCTTTCAAGCTCCAAATTACCAAGCTGTCCATCAACCTAGCCTGCCGGGCGCCAGCCGGGAGCGCCTCCATTAGCACAGCTGTGTACCTGTCATTCCCGCTCATCCACGGCCAGCGCAGCCAAAGTCCGCCCCTCTGTTTCGGCACGGTGCTGAACGCAGTCAGAGGCAGAGGCTAATGCACGACCACACTACAAATTTCTCCCACCACTTCCCACCATTATCCTTGTTCAGAACCTGGGCTGCTTTTCAAAACACAATGGGGGGCATTTTTATCAAATGCTTTGTTTCTGTACCAAGAGGGTTGCCAGCTCTCTTGTCCACAATATTTTAGTCCCACCACCTGGACACCCATTAAGCCAATGCCACATACTTAAATCCTGCTACTTGAAGCTTGATTCTCTTAGTTCTGTATTTTGTATCCATTAAGATTAGATTTGGATTGACAAGAAAATCCCAAATTGCAATAGCTCAAACAGGATGCATTAAATCTCCTCTACTTGGTGGTACCGGAATGGTGTAGGCCTCAGGGTATCAAGGATCACTACCCCTTCTGTCCTGTAGTCATTTAAGCTGATGTGTGGCTTCAAAGGCAATGTCCAGGACGGCTGCCCCAGCTCCAGCCATCACACTCTTATTCCCTGTAGTAGAAGAAGAGGAGAGCAGACAGGTTCATCTCCACCCTTCATGGACTCTTCCTGAAGGTTGCTGTACATTGGCTGAAATGTGCTCACTCAGCTACGTCTTCCTGTGGTGGAGGATGGGAAATATCATTCCCACTCTGGATGGCACGTGGGTGGAAAATTCAGGGTTTTTTCCTGAGGAAGAGGGAACATGGACTCAGGCGGGGCTCTGTGTGATAGCTCCACATCCTGATCCTCCTCTGACACACACATCACAGAGGAGGCAGAGCTGGGCAAGGTCGCAGTCTGTCACACAGAAGTTCTCTGATGAGGGGCGCCATCCCAGAACCTTCCTCTCCTGGGGCTGTCCTGGTCCCCGACGCCTAAGTGAGTAGGCACAGAGGTCGCCTGCCTCGTCCCCGGTGTAGGACACGCAGAGCTCCCCCCCCCCACGCCTGGCGGAGCAAAGTCTTAACAACTGAGCTGGCTTCTGTGTTCACACACCACACCATGAGCAAAGTCAGCACCTTGGGTGGGAGGAGCCACCAACCCCGAGACTGTCACTGCACTCGGAAACCCAGACCCATGAAATGCAACATGAATATTTAACTTCTGGGACTGCAGCTATCTTTGGATTGCTAAGTAATTGGGAAGCTAATGTTCTTGATAAAAGCACACTTTCCCCAAAAATATTGACTATTTCTGTGTTCTTGCCTTCTCCACTGCCATTAGCAAGGGTTGGTTTAATTCACCAGAATATGCAAATTCCCCTGGCGGCTCTCAGGGCCACCAAACCCTCCCGCTGCTGACACTGCTAACGGGGATTTTTTTAAGGCTGTCAATGGATCTGAGAAGGAACTGTGGGGACAACCGTTCAGGACACCCAGGAATGCCTCCTGCAGGTGACAGCTGAGAAGGGGAGGACATGTAATTTCGATTCACACCCAAGGGGGAGGGACGGGGAGGCTCCGGTATCTGCCAGGGGGCTCTGCGAAGTTGCCAAGGCTGCTTTCTCTGCTGGATGTTAGAAGCCCAAGGCCTGAGGCCTAGGAAAATGATCAAAATCAGGGGGGAAAAAAACTATTGGCTTCAAAATACATAAACAATCCAGCAAAATCAAATTAATAAGTGCCTAATTAAATGCTACAAAATGTAACATTCCGGTCCCTTTGTTAGTTGTTGAATTTGGCATTTATGAATATTACATGAGTATTTTATTACTTTTGAAAACAACTTGCTGGAGACCTTCTTACAGGGGAGAATGCTCGAATCTGTGTGACCACTGCCAGGGTCCAGGGCCAGCAGGAAATTAAACGAGCTGCCCACAGCCAGAAGCAAACTTGCCTGAAACCTTTCAACTCTGCATGGCTGTGAGGTGGCTTCTCACACAGGGTGTGGGTACCACTCAATATGTCTGCTACAGTGGGGGCTTTCAGGAAGACTGTAAAGGGCCAAGAAGTAAACACTGTGGTTGGGCCTCAGGGCCACGCTGTCTCCCTGTGACTGCTGAACTCTCTAGCAGAGCCCAAGGCAGCCGTGGAGGAAGGGGAAGCAAATGAGTGTGGCTGTGTGCCAATAAAACTTTATTTACAAGAACAGATGGTGGGCCAGGCTTGCCCCGGTGGTAGTTTCTGACCTTGGCTTAGATTCAGGTCTAATAGCCACTTACTAATTCAGGTCTAATAGCCACTTAGTAACCCCTGCCAACAATTAAGGCTCAAAAGTATATTTTTCTACAAAAAAAAAAATGCTGTTATCCTGAATTACCCAGAAAATATCCTAGACTCTGCTCTGAGTCACCACTAATGGGCATAACCGTTGGACACACTCCTGCAGCAGGCTCAGGGCACTGACGCCTTGGAGACGGTTTCCCTTCCTTTTCAATCATCCACTCCTCCAGCGAACAGACCGAGCGCTGTGCACAACTGCTGGGATCTCTTCCAAGTAAACATTTGCACAGCTTCTTCACAAAGAAGGGAAAGTTCTACTCCGGTCTAACAGAATACGGTTAGGAGAGGATGTACTGTTACTGTTTAGTACTCCACTAATTCAGCAGCAAATGCGTTTCTCTTAATTTTTCCTAAGGCATCTGAGAGGAACTTCACAAAAGGTGTTCAAAAGGTCTACGAATTTTTTTTAGAAATTGGCTCCCGACCTTTAGATATCTAATATAATAAAGTGTCCTGGTAGACTTTTGAACTTCGCTTAGTCAGTCTCATGTCTATGGCTAGACAAGAAAGCTTAGAGGGCGCGGGTCCTCCTATATAAATGTTTAAAAGATGTTTAAAGGAAACCCTCCCCACCCCCACAGCTTGCACCAACAGTCAGTGGACAGGTAAGGACCAAGGTCAAGCTGTGCTTTTGCTTAAATCCTACCAGAACTTCCTGGTTCAAATCTTCCTAATATCTTTTGTTCACCTGATTCATGCAAAGTAAATTATATCAGTCCTTCAGTTTTTCAAAGCATCTACTGCTCATAAAGTTTTAAGCATAATTATTTCTTTCAGGATAACATATTTTATCTAGTTAATCAAAGTGAAAAGGAAATGATGTTTATCTTCTCAAAATCACTAAAAATGCTGATTACAAATGTTCTGGAAACACATTTGCCAATTTACCTTTTTCCCCACTTAAATTGGAGCAGAATCATAATTATAGAAATATAAATAAACTTTTAAAACCCTGTTTTCATCTCTCCCCAGTGTTACCTGCTGTTGCCAAACAGCTCTGGAATCTACGTGCTGTATTTTCATTTACCCTCGGAGATGGGTTGTCAATGGAAGCAAAGGATAATGCGATTAAAGTCAAGTTTCTCTAGAAAATGTGACAAATCAGACTTATAAAAAGCATAACATGCTGCTCTGCTTTGGTTCAAGACAGCTGGTCTGAGAACATCAAGGCATTTAATCTGGATCCCTAGTTTGCCCTCCTCCGGGTCCTAGGAGGTGACTGAAAGCCAGGAGCAGAGCAGGGAAGCCTCCATTGGTAGTTCCTCCACGAATCTCTGCAGTTCTCCCAATCACGCCCCCTGGAGGAGGGAGCCCAGAGTCATTGCTTCAAATAAAGAAGCCTGAGACCCCAGTGTCCAGTGCGTCCAGGGGCAGCTGCAGCCCTGAGATGAGAGGTAGGAGGCCGAGGCTTCCTGCAGGTCAGCTTGCCCCCTCCTTGCTGCAGATGCACAGCAGATGGCCAGCGTCCCCATCCAGCACATCCACATCGCAGAGCTTCCGGGGGAAGCCTCGGAGAGAGGAGGTGAGTGCCACCAGTCAGCAGAGTCAGTTTCCCTGGGTTGGAGCTGAGGACACCTCACGTAATGTCCAGCAGGCAGCCACAGTCCAGGCCGTCAGGGGTTTCCAGCCAGCTGGGGATAGACACCACCTTTGCTGATTGCTAGGAGGAAACTTGACAGGATGGTGGTGGCGAGCCCAGGTAGAGAGACAGGACCCCAGGGGTCTTCTCCACTCCTGGACTCTGGTGCGTCCATCAGGGCTCACCCACCTCCCTGCCCTGCCCCTCATGTGGACAACGTCTCTCCTCCCTGCCGCCTTGCCTGTCTCCTGCTCTCGTCCTACCCCCGCTTATGCATCTTGGCCACACCTCTTTACCAGGCTCCCACACAACCCGAGACTGTGAAGCGAAACAGGCTCCCAAGGCTGGCAGAAGTGCAGCTGGCCCCAGGATGGCACCCAGGAGCACGGTGCTCACCAGAACCCTGGGTTGTCTTCAGCAAACCTGCCACCTCCTCCCAGGGCCACAGTCACCGCCTTAGACCACGCCCTCTGTCCAGCATGGTGGCAGATGGTGACATGGAGCTGACAAACCCTCTTGCTCTTGCTGGTTCCCTGGGAGAACTCACTTCCTGCCTCTCAGACCTGGTCAATAAAAGCCAGCTTCCAGGGACGTCCACCTGCTCTCTCCTTCCTGTCCTCCAGTCCCGGGTCTTCGGGGAGCTGGGAGCTACACCCCATTGGAAGGCTCCTGCTGAATACCCTCACCCCACTGTGCTGAGCGACAAGCGCAGGGATCCATCCCGGCCACTGTGCTGTGGCTGCTGACTCCTTTCTTGCCAGGCCCACTTCTCCCCTTCCCAGCCTCCTCCAAAGCCCCCATTTCTGGCCCACCCTGTGCAAAGCTCTGAGACGCTTCCTAGGCCTCAGATCTGAGCACACATCTCCTGGCCTAAAACCCCCCGTAGCAATTTTGTCCTCCAAACTCCAAAGACATTCAAACCCGAGGACAGCAGCTGCACACCCGGGGGTCATCTTCCCACCGTATCTCTGTGGGTCCCCTCACTGGCCGGCCACTCGGGTCTGGGGCCTCCAGCAGGGCTGCGTCACCAGGTCCCCCTTCTCCTGGCCACTGCACCTGCTCTTCCCTCTCTGGGAATGACTGCCCTGCCACCAACCTGGTCTGCCAGCTCTGAGTCGCTGCTCAGACCCACTGCAAAGGCCTTTCCAGCTTCTTCTTACACGAATGACTCGTGAGTGTTTGTAGGATGGGTGGCGCCTAAACGATGGAGGAATAAATGAAGGGTCGGATGATGGACGCACAACAGAGTGACAGGAAGGGAGGAAGGAGAGGCAGGGAGGGAGAGGGAAGAGGGAGAGGGAGGGAGGGAGGGAGGGAGGAGAGAGAGGGAGAGGGGGAGGGGAGGACGAAGAGGTGGATCATGGATGGATAAATGGATGGGTGGGAGGTGGACGGTGGAGAGGTGGATGGGCAGATGGAGGGGAGGAAGAGGAGCTTTGGCCTTGGCAGGAAGGGGCTTAGCAAGGCTTTCTGGCCTGTCATGAGCTCACAGGGATTTCCAAGACGTTTATTTTGTGTGCAACATGAGGACAGACAGAACCCAAGGGCTCAGAGCCCAAGGTGGGAAGTGGGGAGGTCTTGACAGCAGGAGCTGAGGGGCCCCAAGGGCTCCCTGTGAGTCCCCTTCTGAAGGACCTCTCGCTCCTCAGCCCTCAGCCGCGCCCTCCCCATGCCCTGGCAGGCATGGTCTCCAGCCTCCTCCAGCCCAGGGATGTCCACCTGCTCTCCTCCCGGGCCCTCCACTGAGCAGAACAGCGCTCCTGGCCCAGCGTCCACTGGCGCATGGGGTTTGGAGCCACAGGTGAGGTGGAAGGCTGTCCCCCGCAGTCTGTCCCTACAAGGCTCCCTAGCGCAGGACGCAATGGCTGGCAGGGAAAAGAGCCCCTGCCAGTTAACAAGCAGGCGTACAGGCTGACCTAGGAGTTGGGAGTCCGGTCACGTCCCCCTGTGAAGCCGAATAGATAATTAATGGCAGACCTGGTGAGTCTGCAGTGGGGCTTGTGCCTTGTGGATTCAACTTCAAAACCCCCGAGGCCGGCGGCAGAGCAGCGGGTTTCTGCGCCCTGATTCAGCGATTTTGGAGCCCGATAAGATCAATAATTCATCATAAACCACCAACTAAGTTAGAAGGCTCACCAGGGAAAGAGCTGGGCCTTCTCTTTCTTCCTTCCTCTTCTCACACACGGAGCCCAGGCTCCAGCTTGCTCTGAGTCACTCCGCCTCCTCCTGGCAGGGGGAGGAGGTGTTCCTCTCCGGAACGGAACTCAGCCTTCCCGTCCCTGCAGCCGTCTAGGCATGGGCCACTCGTGTGTGCACGTCTGTGAGGTCGAAGGCCAGAGGTCATGATGACCTGTCTGTAGACCTGTTTCCACCCTCCCTGGAGGTGGGACACCAGGGACAGGCAGGTGGAGAGGCTTCCCTGACACTGCCCACGGTCAGGAGGGCGGGCTGGAGTCGCCTCCAGGGCCCTGGCTTGGCTCTGCCCCTCGAAGCTCCACTCAGGAGCAGCTGCTCTGGCCCTTGGTTCTGGAATCCATCTTCCCGCTCGGGCTGAGGCGAAGAGCAGTCCTTTCATGAGTTCATTCCTCAGTGATCACGTCAGGCACCAGGAAGACCACAGCCTGCCCTCCAGGGAGTTAGTCTGCTCAGAGAGAGGCACAGAGGCTTCACAGCTCTCCACACTTCTTCCTCCGGGGAATCAGAGCCTGAGGAAGCCTCCCGGGGCCTGGCTCTGGGTGCGTGGTCTCCTCCCAGAGGAGCCTGGCTCTTGGGTTTGTTTCATGTCCCAGCAATCACTGGGAAGGACTCAGAGACAGGAACCTGGGGAGGGGGGGCAGGGGGTGTCCTATAGCAGCCTTGGGGCTGCCCCTGAGGCCCAGAGCTCTAGCTCCCATCCTGGGGACTGTGACAGGAACCTGATCGGGGGACCTGGCAGTGGAGAACTCTGGACTCCCTCCCTGGGACTGTGGTGCCTGCAGTCCTGTTTCTCGTCCACTCTGTCAGACAGAGGAGGGGATCCCTCCTCTGCATCACCAGGTTTCACAAAGCAGGGTTCCAGGACCGCAAGTCAGAGGCCCCGGAGAGCCCCAGGCCCACTAAAGCAGGGTCTGTATGGCTTATGCATCCTAAGGTGCTCCCAGTTACCCAGACTCTGGAGCTCGACTGCTTGCATTTGAACCCTGGATCTACAACTATTTACGCCTGTGACCTGGAAGACATCACCGAACCTCTTTACCCCCGGGGTACCTGGGAGCTCTGAGAGAGCATAACTTCCAAGCACTCAGAGTGGCCTGGAATGAAGTATTATGCATATTTGCAAGTCATCTACATCTGGCCGCAGACCGCTTCCACTGAGATGTCACCTTTGTGCTTGCTGAGCCACAGTCTGAGTTCCAACTTCTCTAGACACAAGCAGCTTCTTGGAGCATCCCTGCCCAAGTGGAGCACGCAGGGCCTCCGTGGCACAAGCAGGTGAACCCAGCCCTCCCCTTCAACTTTAATGCTGTCATGGTTTCCCAACAGGTGCTTCCTGACCCCAGAATTCATGGTAGTCACATGAAGGAGCCTTCCAGGACACATCGAACATCAGGGCCTTGCCCAACAGTCCCCCTCGGCAGGTCACGCCACATCTTTCACAATTGCTCAGAAAAAGACTCATCGTTCTCCTTAAGTTGGGTTCTGCAAGGCATCCTTGAAAGGAGGGTTCCCATGAAGCTGGCTGCCAAGGACAGGACTGTGTGCTCCCTAAATTCAGGTGTCAAAACTCAACGCCCCAGTAATGGCATTTGGTGGTGGGGTGACTAGGTTTGGATGAGGGCAAGAGGTGGCACTCGTGATAAGACCCTAATAAGACAGCATGGAGCTTGATCTCTCCTTGTCACACAAGCACACAACAGGAAGACGGCCATCTGCAGGCCAGGAAGAGAGCACTCACCAGACCAACCCTGCTGCCACCCCGATCTCAGGCCTCCAGGCTCCAGAGCGTGAGGCAGCGAATGGCTGCTGTGGAAGCTTCGGCACCTGTAGGTGTGGTTATGGTGGCCCGAGCCAGCTGAGACAGGGACTTGGGAAGGGCAGAGCTGGGCAGTAGAACAGACCAGCTACCTGATGCCCTGTCTCCACCGTCCTTCCTCCCACAGCACCAGGGGCCATGTGGGCACTATGGGACCCAAAGAAGCCTGTGAGGAAAAGGAGAATTCTAGCAGCACCGAGGACACTGTCATGCCCCCCAGAATCAGCAGTGGTCCTAACAACACGAGGACCCTTGACATGGCCCCCAGAAACAGTGGTCCTAACAACACGAGGACCCTTGACATGCCCCCCAGAATCAGCAGTGGTCCTAACAACACGAGGACCCTTGACATGGCCCCCAGAAACAGTGGTCCTAACAACACGAGGACCCTTGTCATGCCCTCTGCAGGATCCATGGTCCTGGCAGAGGTGGTGGAGGTGGAGCCGACTCAAGACAGCAGCTTCTCTGAGGAGAAGATTCAGGTCAAGGGTGACGTGCATGTGGTGGGAGGGGGAGGCCCTGCAAGTTCCATCACTAGCCCTTCCACTGCCTGGCTGAAGACGCTTCCAGGGAAGGAGGAGCCGGAGCACACCCAGCCAGCCTCCGTAAGGGCCTTTCTACAAATTTGATTTGATAAGTTTCATTCCATCTATTCACAATGTGTCAAAATGCATTCTATGGTATAATTAATTATGACTTATGCTGTATAACTACTTAGAACAAACAAAAAGAATTAAATAAATAAATAAATTGTATGTTTAAAAAAAAGTCTGATTCCTTGGAGATCCTCCTCTGTGCCTGTGCTCCCTTGATGGCCATGCTCCTCCCTGCTTTTGTAACTTCTCTCCCTCTTAACCTGGCTCAGGTAAAGCCCAGGTGGTGCTCTGGGGTGGACACACTTGTTCATGGGATCTGGCGGCTGGGCACTATCCCAGGAACCAGGGTACAGAGGCAGGAGTAGGCTCCGGGTGTACCGTGGCATGTCCTCTTCCACCCTGCCCTTCCAGTTCCCAGTGCTCAGGGCTTTCCACAGCTACCAGACGCAGCACTAAGGCAAGCTGTGAGCCTTGGCGGGATCAGGCTGCACGTGCGGGAGTAGAGTGCTAGTTTTTTGCTCCTCTTGGTTCAAAGACCACAGCACAACCCTTTAGTTAAGAAGGATGAAGTTTGTTAGTTCTATATAAATCACCAAAGGAGGCAAACACATAACTAGAAACTCCTGCATCCACGGTGCCTTTAGTGATTCTGATTTCCATGGGCAGGTTCTAGAGTTCATCTGGGAAGGTGGAGAATAGTAGACTTGGGGCCACACACACCCAGAAGGTCTCACACTGGCTACAAAACATACAGAACCTAGTGCAAAAGGAAATGTGGGGCCCTTGTTCAAAAGCTTAGGATGTCAAGGTGGTGACAGCAGAGAACTGAACCAAGCCTGGGCCCTTCTGAGCAAGGGCCCCGTAACATAGCACAGATTCTGTGCAGGGAGGTTGGTCCCCCCAGGACTGAGGGATATGGCTGTCCACGGGAGAAGCCCTCACTGGTGTGGCACCATCTTTACGCAAAGACCAGCAAGCTCCTTTGGTCTGGTTTAAGCAAAGATAAATTACAGAGATCACAAATGCTGGTTCAGAAGCTTTTCTACCATGGCTCTTTAGATCTTGAAAACCTTTTAGCTGTATGCCAGAAAAGCGAGTTTTGTCAAAATACTAGTCATACTCCACTGGGCAAATGCCCTCTCAAGTCCAGAGAAACCATCCTTCTTGCTAACCAGGGCTCTGTCTCCGACTAGACAGCCACCGAGCCTCCATGTGGACCTCGGGGCCCTGTGGCAGCTGTGAAGCCAGACAGGCAAAGCCTGTTTCAGCCACAGAGGGTGACAGTGGGACTGCCAACGCCCCAGACTCACAGCCACCAGCCACCCCACTGTGATATGTGACCCTGACAGAATTCCACCCTCCAGCGCTTTGGCCACTTCTGACCTCCATTGGAAGAGGCCCATGAGGATCCATGACAGACAGAGCCCCTGCCCTTGGAGTCAGAACTAGTCTTCCTTAACTAAAGTCCGGCCTCTGTGCTGAGAGAAGCCAATCTGAGAGTTATTCCTTCTTCTCCTTATTCTGGAGACAAAGAATCAGCTTTCCTTTACTGCATAATGGGCTCTTGGTTTTGTTATTGATCCCTCAAATTTGACCAGTTGGGGTTAAATATTGGCAGCACGACTGGTGAGGTCCAAGCAAGACCTGCGCTTGAGACCCACACTGATGGTGCTCGGCCAAGCCCACTCCTGGCTTTGATGGGATGGATTAGTAACCCAAGATGTTATCTCAAGGCATCCGCAGGGTCCACGGGAGCAATCCCTGCTGTTTCTGTAACTTCTTGTGAGTCTAAAATTATTTGCAAAGCAAAGAAGTAGTTCTAGAGTGTGTACGTAGATTATATAATAAAGACAGAGGGAAGCCCAGCTCCATTTGGTTGGAAATGTGGGATCACGGGGTGGGAATTGGTCAGGGCCAAAGTCATGTGTCTTAATCTTATAGGTGACTCTGGTCCTTTTAGATGGACACAGAAAATATCTGTTTGTGGGTATTCCAAAAGGTGTCATATTTGCTCAAGACCAGCAAACATCAGCTCCTCAATAACAGCCACCATCAAGACAAAGATAGCTAGTTAGACGGGTGGAAAGATGGTGGAATATACACCACGCCCGGAGAGAGAGTCCCACTTCTCGGATCTTCATGGAGTGTGTGATCCTGTTACAATGCCACAGAATCTTCTTGAAGGAACCTGGTATCAGTCAGGGGCCGGCCTTCTCTGACTCAGCGCAGTCCCTGGAGCAGAGGGCCCTTGGCTGACCCTTGCTGACAGGGGCAGCACTTCTTTGAGCTCCTAGGGGGACAGGCTAATTCCCCCCATGAGAAAACCAGCCGGCCTGGGTGACCTTCACGCCTCTCCTGCTCACATCCTCTGAGGCCAGGAGAAGGGAGAGAGGAGCCCGTGGGAAAGGAAAGGCAGAGAGCCCGAGAGCAGCAGGGGCACGGGCTGTGCGGGAAACCGGGGCAGACACCAGGAAGGGAACCTGTAAAACAGGAAGGTGGGTGGCTCCTCCCTCCTGGTCCCGGTGAAGAGCCAGCAGGACTGCGCATGCGTGGTGCGCACCCAGGACCGCTCAGCAGTCGGAGCTAGTGCTCCTCGGGTCAGTGCCTCTGGCCTCTAGACCCTCCCCGACTAGTTAAGGAGGAAGAAGGCAGGCCAGCCAGCCCTGCTGACAGCACCTCTGGGTGCACGTGGGGACAGACAGGAGAGGTGCGAGTAGCAGATGCACATGGGTCCCGGCCCCTGCCCCTCACCTGGGGCAGCCTGGGTCCACGTTCCGTTCCTCGGTGAGGACAGCTACCACTCAGAGAAAGGAGGAGCTAGCCAGTTGGAAACCCCGGCTGGCGTGTGTTTATTCAGTGTAACTGGCCTTTTAAGAAACCTCCCGTGCATATCCAGAGTGATGGGTTGGGCTCTGAGGCCCAACCAAGATAAAAAGCATCACAGATAACAACTGTTACAATCTCCATAAGGGGAGGAGTTCCGTTTTAGTCTCCATCCCCTCTCTTTTCCCTTGAAGGAAAAGGGCCCCCATCTGCTCCCGCACAGGGGTTCCAGTTTCCCTCCCTTTCGGCTTCCTGTTTATAAATCCATGGGCTTGTGGTGGCACAGGAAATGGTTTTAAACAACACAGAGTTGCGTGTAAGAGAGGTCTTCTCTTTCTGATGTGTCTTCCATATCCTGACGTCCAGGAGGAAGTGCCCCTCTGGAGCTAGTGGCTTTGCCACCGGGGCCTCTGGCAGGCGGCCTTATCTACCCACAACTACCATGGCCTCTCTGTTTGGAGTCTCTGTTCACGCTTGCCTGCTCTTTACACTAGCAAAACTGGTTTTTCACTTACCATCAAATATAAAATTTCCTGTTTACTTAATTTGGGTGCAAGTCCGATCAGACAAAGCCCAAGTGGCAAGCGCATGCGGCGGCCCGTGGAGGCACAGCAGGATGGACTGCAGTGTGGAAGCACTGAGTCATGGGGTGAAGGGCCCCTCGCAGCCAGGTGAAGGTGTGAGGCTGAGGGAGCCCGGAGGCTGCTGGTGGGGGTGACTTGCCAAAGGACCCCACTGGTTGGGCAGGAGGAGGAGCTTCCCGGGATTCCCTGGCATGAAGCTTCTTCTCTCTCTAAAACCAAGAAGTCAATCAGGGGCAGGATCAACACCCTCACACTCAGCCTGGTGCTGCCCACAGCTGGGCTGAGGGGCAGAGCTGACACCTGGTCCTCCACAGCTGGCCCTGTCCGTGAAACACAGGAAGATAAATATGACAGAGGCTGAAATCACAGACGGCAGCAATGAAATCAGAAAGCCGTTTTCCCCGAACGCGCTACCCTGATGCCAGCCCTGAGAAGGGCGTAGGCGGTGACAAAGGCATGCGTCCCACATACCCAGCGACTTCTCTGGGGAGAAGCTGTTTGTCTGTCCTTCCTTGCTGGCTGGGGGGTGAGTGACTCCATCATCCGAGTGCAAGGACGAGGAGGCCGTGGGATCAGGTGGCTTCCTCAGGTGGGTGAAGTGAGCGGCAAAGGCAGGCCTGGAGCCAGCTCATCCCCGCAGGACCAGGGGCTCCACACTGGCCTCTCTGTGGAGGAGGGAGAATCAGTGGGTTCTACCCGCCAATCCCGGCCAGGGCCAAGAGACCAGTTCAGACTGGTTTAGCAGCAAGCGTGGTGCTTTCTACTCACCACCAGCCACAATCGTGTCCCTCTAAGGGGGGCTTCTCATCCCAGCACTTTTGGCCCTGGGCCAGACTCTTCTGTGCAGGGAGGGCTGTCCCTTGTGTGTTAGGATGTCCATCCGGCAGCAGCCCCACTCAACACACTGGGCCTGTGACAACACACCCTCCCTGTGTCAATCAAAACTGTCCCCAGAGATCAACTGGTACCCTGGGGGCAAAATTTCCTGTGGTTGAGAACCACTGAAGAAAACGTCCAGCCCTTGGGTTGGGTGGAACAGTTTTCAGGATATTTTCCCCCTACTTGCTGTTCAAACATGAATGACGATGAAGGCATGGAGGGACACAGACAGTGAAAACGGGCTGCATTTACGTCCATGAGGTGTTGACGTCACGTCATAAAACAGTGCACATGTCCACGGCCTGGGCTGTGGCTTTGCTCTCGTGTTGCGCAGGGATCACCTGCTCCCGTGGTTATATAGAACAAGACCACCATGGACTCGGCGCCTCTGTGGGCTCCATGCCTCTGTGGGCTCCTCTGCTGGACCCGCAGCCTGCTGAGTACAAGCCGCTACCCAGCCATGCACCACCCTGGACCTGAGTGGGTTATCTCAAAGGCATCCCCCAGTCCCACTGTCACCATCTCCCACCCCTGCAGACTCTACCTGGCCTACAGCCTGGGGAGCAAAGCCATGTACCCAGGACACCCCTAGGCTGCTGACCTTTCAGAGCCTCAAAGGCTGCACAGAGGACAGGGCCCATCAGGAGCCCAGGTCCTGCCTCCTGGTGTTCCAGGCGTGGGAATCCACAGGACAGGGACTCGTCCTCACAGGAGGCTCTGCTTCTGGAAAGTCTCCGACTTCTCCCTAGACAGTGGCACCACACCATTGCCAGGCAGGAGGCATCCTGATGCCAGCTCAGTCCAGCCACCCACAGAGGGAATGGGGGCTCCACAGGTGCTGCCCGGCTCAGCGTTCACTCACCTGACATGGGCTTCCTTGGTGCCCCATGGCCACGGCTACATGGAAGTGGCCAGCTAAAGTGAGAGGGAAGAGTCCCAAGCCCACCCTCACTTCTGACACCAACTGTAAGTTCAAGTGTCCCCAAGACCACCTTGGTTGACAGTTCTCTGGAAGGCTCCCAGCACTCCCTGCAAGCTTCACACTGCTGGTCTGCATTTGATCAGGGAAAGCTCACGGGTAGGATGAGGAGAGTGGGAGAGCGTGGTGAGGTGCATTCACCAGCCATGCCCTCCAGGGGCTTGGAGGTACCTCCCAGAAACCCAGGGCAAAGGCCAGAGCTCTGGAGGCAAGGTGAGCACTTCAGCCAGCCTGACCCTCCAGGGCCCCGGACAGCACTTCCCTTTGCCTCCGTCTGTGTGAACTGTGCTCCGGTCATTCTCAACCCTGACCCATCCAAGCACCCGATTTCCCCACTGTCCACCTGTCCTCTTCACTTCCCTGGCAGTGTCCTCTTCAAAGGGAAGTGGTCCCAGTGGGGCTCCAGTCTGATCCTCCCCTCCAGGAGGAGGGCCTCAGTCACTGCAGACCCCCAGGCCTCCCTGTAGTCAAAATGGCACTGGAGGGCTGGCCCCTTGTCACTGTTGTCAGACAGGAATCTGCTCAGGGTCCCTGGAGGAGTCTTTGGCAAGAGATCTTGAAAGGGGAGGGGGTCGCAGGAGGAACTGCTATTGATTAACGGGCGCTCCTCACGCACGCCGACCCCTGGTGAATGAACACTCGCTCTCTCAAGAAAGCATCAGTCCACAGACATGTTGAAACCATTTCTCCCTCAAAATCAGAGGCTGCACAGGACGATGCTTGGTCAGTTTTCTTGCTTTTAGGGAACTTGGACTATGTGAAGTTTAACAAAACTCACCACCTCGAATCCTTGAGGTGGAATGAGGAATCACTAAATAAGCTACGCTGTCAATCATGCCAAGTGTCAAGAGGGTGACTGTAGAGGTGAGCAGGAGGGTCCCTGTGGGATGGCAATGCCCTGCTCGTGGCTGTGTGCCCATAGATATCCTGGTTGTGCACAGAGCTTTGCAAGGTGCTCCCTGGGGGACACTGGGCCAAGGGTACAGGGGGCCACTATATTGTTTCCTGACACTGCACATGAATCTACAGTTACTCAAAAATAGTTTTTCCTAATTGAAAATAAATGCCAATCATGAAGCCATCCCTAGGAGAGTAAGAGGACCCAGGAACGCCAACCCGCTCCCTCCTCCCCTCTGAATCCTGAGGAGGGGCACTGTCATGTCTTCATACCAACATTCCTCTGGTTAATTACACAAGTGGGAGGGGCAGGTACATGTCACCCGGAGCCTCAGTTTAGTTCACAGACTCTTTTAAATACAATGCTTGGAGATATTTGAAAATTGTTTCTTATTCAACTTTATGTTTTGATGCATTTAAAAATCCAGCCTTGGGAGATTGTAGAGAAATGTGCTAAAACACGTTCATAAAACCACCTATTCAGGTTTATGACAAGTGCGTCTCATGCAGTCACTTTTGCCTGAGCTCATTTGCCATTCCAAGTACGGGAAGCTGTGCTAAGTATTTATCACACATCGTTGGCGGTGACAAAGAGCTGCAGTGTTGTCTCACGAAAAGATGAAAAATATGGGTTTGATTGCCGCTTCCTCGCTGGTTAACTGTCTCCCCTGAATGAATATTGTCCCTCTTTCAGCGATATTGGTCCCTGGTTTGCCATATTGAGAATTATTATCAAAAATAATCACTGGCCTGGATACAAAGTGATAACAAGGCTTATTTCATAATTTTCTCAGTTGGACTGAAAAACTCTCCCTCAGGAAGAAAGAACAAGACTTTTCCCCCCAGTTCTGGGTAAACACACTCCCTTGTCAATGGCATGGACGACAGCTGTGTAAAAGCTGTCATTTTCGTGAAGGGACTCTTGGCCAACCTGCTCCTGGTGGTAACCACCCAAGAGTTTTCACCCACAGTAACCCGGTTTGCTGGATATGAAATATATTATAAAAGGAAACACACATACGATTTTTAAAATTAAAACATTGCATCAAGAGACAAATCAAAATATGTCCTAGAAACCCAATTCCTATCACAATTCAGTTGGTAATTCTAAGAGCAATGAATCCACAAGAGCAATCATGAATTTACTGAGGGCGGCTTGTGGGAGCGTGAAGATGCACTGGGTGGAGGCACATTCACCACGGTGCCAAGCCACCCCTCCCTGGGCTGAGCAGGACCCCGCCTGGGCTGGGGAAGCACTTCCTCCTGGAACAGAACCAGTCCTCCGTTGCTGTGCATGTCCATGTCTCCAGCGTCTCAATGTTGAACTTGTAGACACTTTCCACTCCTAAAATTTTGGATTCAGAGTTCTGGGGTGAGGACTGAAATTGCACTTCTAGTAAGTTCCCAGGTGAATGCTGATGCTGCTGCTCCAGCCACCTCCATTTGGGGACCACTGTGGCAGAGCCCTCTCTCTCCGTGGCTGCTTTCCCGTCCTGAAGGTGGCCGACTCATCAGAGGATCTCAGCCAATGTTTGGGTGCCCAGAGCCCAGAGCCTTCTCACATGGGTGACCCAGTCCTCAAACGGCCTTCCACACTCCACACCTGGGCAAACCTGGTGCAGTTGTAAGAAGGGCAATGCCAGTCTCCAGGATTTCTGAGAGCCACCGACCCTCAGATGGCACCCAGTGGATGTGCCCACCAAGTCAGGTTGTGCCCACCACAGATGCCTGTAGAGGGACCCTCAGGAGGAAACTTCTGTATTTGTATACAAGAGAACACGGAGGAGAAGGCAGTTTCCTCTTATGCTTTGTCTTTCTCCTCTGGGAAAAGCTTTCCAAAGGATATTCAGCGGTCAGCTTTTAAAGGGCTTGAAGCTTTTTCATGAACTGCCTTACCTCTTGGGTAAAGTTTCAGGAATTCCTGGGCTTGGCAAGGTTTAAGGTCCAGGCATAGGAACTCAGTTGATCTGCAGCTCATCTCAGCCCAAAGCAGCCCTCTCAGCAAGCTTGGGCGTGAGAGGCGACTACAGCTAATGCAGATGCAGCAGAACAAGGTCTCCTCCGCCCTCTCACCAGGACCCTCGCCTGGCTCCCTGCAAAAGTCATCATTGAGGGCTGTTTCATTCTTGGGTTCAACACAACCGCACATTGGCTGAGGCCCTCTGATGAGCCAGCCACACTCAGGGGACAGGAAAGCGGCCACAGAAAGAGAGGACTCTGCCACAGTGGTCCCCAAAGGGAGTCGGCTGGGGCAGCGGCATGAACATCACCTGGGATTCTACTAGAAGTGCACATTTCAGTCCTCACCCCAGAACCCTGAATTCAAAATTCTAGCAGTGGGGGCTGGAAATCTGCATTCCACCAGCCTCCAAAGCTCTGATACACACCTCTTGGCACCCACTGCTGAGAGCCATGCTCTCTCTGCCTACACCAGCACAGATGCTTGGGCCTGTGACTCTCCATTAGCTGCTCACCAGGAGGTCATGGCAAAGACTGAGGCCAAGCGTTGACAAATTCTGATAGTCACGGTATCGCTGTGTCCCTCTAGTGCATGGTGATTTTTCTAGTAGTTAATTTTCATCATATTGTACAAAAGTATAGCTTCAAAGTGAATTGAAAATCTTTTTTTTAAAAATCTGCCCTTTCCAACAGGTTTTTTGAGAAATGCCGTTTTAAGAAGGAATCTCAAAATCCAGTGTGGGCGAGCACCAAGCAGATGATAGAAATGAGTGAACTGGGTGACAGGGCCAGGGCCCAACAACTGAGGCTGGCCTTGAGAAGGGGCAGGATGCACACGTTCATTTTGCCCAGATGGCCATGGCCCCATGGAACACAGGCCAGATGCCAAACCTTCTCACTTTTTCTAAGAGCATCAAGAAAATTCGAGCTTCTGCACATAATCTTTTGATTTTTAAAGTTTGGCAACTTTGCTTTTAAAAAACAAACCACTAAGCAACCCGAGCATCCATGAACAGAAGGGTGGATCAACCAACGCATGTGACAATGTGTTTATATTCATCCTCACAAAGGAAAGAAATCCCTGCACGTGCTGAACACGGATGAACTGCAAAGACCTCAGCTCAGTGAAGTGAGCCAGTCATATGCTGAAGGACTCCTTGCCTAGGATCCCTGGAGTAGTCAGATCCCCAGAGACAGAAAAGAAGGGTGGCTTCCAGGAGGGAAGGGAGAAATGGGGAGAGAGTTTTTAATGAGAGCAGAGTTTCACTCTGGGAAAATGGATGGAGCTTTGGAGGTAGACAGTGGTAACGGCTGCACGGCCATAACCGTGTGAAGGTACTTAATGAGTGATTGATGTGTACATTTAAAATGGTGACTCTTACATACATCTTGCCAAAGTTAACAAACAAAAAAGCTACTTCTGTTGTCCAGGAGC